TTTACTGCTCGGCCCTAAGGCGAGGAAGACAAGATAGGCCCTGAGGTATCTCGGCTAACACAACAGATTTGCACTAAGTTCTCTGGTCCCGAAGTTCTCTGGTTCTTGCAAAGCTAAGCTCTCTCTCTCTCTCTCTCTCTCTCTCTTTCACCCACTGGTGAGCTCCTGTGGGAACATTCCGTACGTGGACTGTTCCCATGGACTTACAATGGTATAATTACTAATATCTTATTTCTCACTTATACTACGAAAGAGCTAGGCGCGCGTAAAACTCTATTACATTGAACAATATTGCTCGCAAAAGAATAGGGCAGGGGGTGTTTGTTAGAAATTTTGGGAGTGTAGTTCGTCGGACGTAACACATAAATATCGGTTTCCTACGACGAGTTTCATTCATCCTCACGCGAGGGTGCACCAGGCGTCCCTGGATTCCCAACTCGCGGTGGACGTTAGGCCATAGGGATCGGTAGCGGTGCTCATTCATTGGGCGCTGTGCGCGCTACTTCCAGTCGTCGTGGTTGAGACTCACCCGGGTAGGACGCGTTGCTGCCGCGTGACGTCACGTCTGTCCCGCGTTGCGCGCGCCTCCTGGGCCAGTAGAGCTGCTCTCCAGAGATAGCGCGAGTGTCGACCCTCGCGCGTCGCAGCCCCCTTCTTATCATGGAACTCCAGCTGGCTCTTCCTCCACTCTTCGCGTCTTCTCGGGCATGACGAGCGAGCGATCTATTCGAACTCCGGCAGAGTACACAGTAAAACAAAAGAAAATAATAAAATAATGTGTCATTTTTGCATATTCACAGTTTCTAGATATATTCTGGACATATTGAAATAAATATGGATATCTAGGGGGTATCTGATGCTGTGCGAAAGGCTGCTACTAAAGTTATTGTTTATCGTATTTTATCTAATATACGAATCTTTTTATTAAACAGACTAAGTCGAATAATTTACCACAAATTAATTTCGTACAGGTTGTATATCTATATCAGTAAACTATAGATATACAATCAATGTATTTTAACTCTCGTTCGACATCGGTGGAAACAAAGTCATACATGATCCCACCAATTGCTGCATCTAACTATTTCGTGGAGTTCACATTTCATGTAATATAACTTTTTGAATATATTAGAAATCATAGAAAAATAGCAAAAAGAAATCTTCTCGAAGAAATATTGTAATGATATCACCATTTAGATATCAAGTAAACAACATTGATCAGATGCCACGTAATATTAGGCATTCGATGTTGTAAATTCTATATCCGTGCAATATCTTAGCGATGTTCTTTATCGGATATAACGTTGTTTGAACGTTTGACACTATTTTTAGATATTTCATAGATATTCGTTGCTGCTTGGTTTTGTTTCATAATTTCAATTAGTAAACGATCAGATTTTTGTACAAGTATCGCCATATTCAATTCAATAATTATTTCCATATTTTACAATTGCTCTCAATTTATTCTTATGTTCGACTGATAATTTTATTTTGAACATAATCTTGAACGAGGGTTCTAATGTCGTGCAATTATCACAAACTAGAGCTAGTAGTTTCTGAGTTCAAATCAACCGTCGGTAACTATTCGACCTTACCTAAATGTTCCATAACTCTTTACGTCTTAAAGCGCAAGCGTTGCGCAGATAGCAGGCTGATCTCCAGTACAGAGATGAGTGGGGAGATGCACAACGTTCCGGTTTTAGGCGATACCAAAAGCATGGCGCTAAATCGTAGCGGCGAGTCCGGGAGTAGGATTTTGTGATCATCGCCTCTGTCGACGTTACAGATATCGCGTAGCCGCACGGGTCATGATCATCGTTCCAGCCGATATTGCAGTCAGCGAAAATGAATGGATTGTTCGGTGGTGGGGAAAAAGTTACCGGCCCTCACAAACCATTCTTGACAAACAGGCAGAACAGCAAGGTCTTCCGTCCAACCGAACCCTAAACGTTTGTATGGACGTAATGCGCAAACAAATGTGTATATTCAAATAAATTTCAAAGTTATAAAAAATGCATAGAAATATTGGTTTTCACTCTTTACCTCTTATCATGCCGAAAATGAACATTAGAAAATAATTGGCGAAATTCGTTGGTAAATGAAACGACCGAGAACAGTTCAAAGAGAAATTTTGAAATATCATAGATAAATATCTATA